CCCTGGATATTTATCAGGTTTGGAGCTGCTTTAGATGATTTTGTCAGAAGAATGACTGCTGATCAACAAATTTGTAAGGTGTGATTAGGAAGATTGTACTTTCTTTTTTATTTTTTTTATTTTTTTATTTTTTTCCCCATACAAATATAAACATACATTAATACAACTTCAATATTATTAATTTTAACATACAAACATAAACATACATTAATATTACAAAACAGCCCGGCAACCCCCCCTCCCCGCATCCGCCCTCTTTCCTTCTCCTTCAACCTCCCTACACATCCCACCTCCTTCCCTCTCCTCTTCCTACTACTAAGCTAGGAGAGATATATATTTTAAGTACTATGTTATTTTCTCTGTTCTGTTACAACTACTTTCTTCTATTCTTTTGTATTTTTTTAATTCTTTTTCTCTCATTCTTTTTCTCTTCCATTCTCTTTTTACTTTAATATTTAAGAAACACAAAAATGTGAGATGGCTTATATGGAAAAACTAGAATCAAGTCTGTCAACGTAAATGTAACTAATTGCTACCAGTAAAAATACTTAGAACTTGGTGGGAGAAATAAACTAAAATAAGGACTGTAACAGGATTGATGATAAGGCAATCCAAATGAATGGAAAGAAAAGAAATGTATTAATATGATGATTATTTTTTAGGAATATTGGAAAAAATATATACTAAATTGTCATTTATTAAAACAATAAGAATTGTATTAACGCAATGTTTGCAAAAAAGGATGTTTTCAGGGAAAAGAGGAAAGTAAACAAAATTAATATATGAAATACAGACTATAGAAATTAATTGTTAAGGTCTGTTTTTACAAATGTAACCCAGCCACCACACTGTTTACCAACTATTGAATGACTTATGTTTGTGTAAAAAACTAATAAAAATTATAATTAAAAAAAAAAAGAACTATGGTGCTGGAGAAGACTCCTGCGAGTCCCCTGGACTGCAAGGTGATCCAACCGGTCAGTCCTAGAGGAGATCAACCCTGACTGCTCTTTAGAAGGCCAGATCCTGAAGTTGAAAGTCAAATACTTTGGCCACCTAATGAGAAGGAAGGACTCACTGGAGAAGAGCCTAATGGTGGGAAAGATTGAGGGCAATAGAAGAAGGGGACGACAGAGAATTAGGTGGCTGGCTGGAGTCACTGAAGCAGTAGGCATGAGCTTAAATGGACTCCAGAAGATAGTAGAGGACAGGAAGGCCTGGAGGAACATTGTCCATGGGGTCGCGATGGGTCAGACACAATTTCACAACTAACAACAACAAGCCTTCACATTCTTACAGGAGAAGCCTTCAAAAACAGGAGAAATGCAAAATTGGAGTCACTTCCACAGAATTCCTGGGGTTTTGTATAGATGCCAAAGGCATCCATCCTGCTGAATCCAAGCTCAAAGCAATTCAGCAGGTGCCCAGTCCCAAGTCGAAGGGAGAGCTTCAAGCCTTCCTGGGACTTCTAAACTTCTACCATGCCTCCCTCCCCCACAAGGCCATAGTGGCAGAGCCGTTACACCGGCTCTTAGACAAACAGGCCCCATGGAAGTGGACAAATGTCCACGAAAGGAGTTTTGCAGCAGTAAAAGCTTTATTGTCATCAAATGCAGTGTTGGCTCATTTCAATGAGCAGTTGCCAGTCAGTATCGCATGTGATGCATCTCCATACGGAATCGGAGTGGTGTTAAGCCATCTCCAGGCTGATGGGACACAAGCCTCTATAGCATATTATTCCAGAACCCTTTCTGCTGCAGAACACAATTACGCGCAAATAGATAGGGAGGCATTGGCCATTGTGGCTGGCATCAAGAAGTTTCACGACTTTTTGTATGGCCGCCATGTCACGGTCTTCACTGACCACAAGCTGCTTCTGGGGTTATTCACTATGAACAAACAGACACCCTAAATCATCTCCCCTAGAATGTTGAGGTGGTTAATATTTCTATCTGCTTGTGACTATTGCCTGGTTCACAAACCGGGTAGAGAAATGGGCCATGCAGATGTCCTTAGTAGGTTGCCCTTACGGCAATTAGAACCAGATTCTGTACCGGCCAACCACATCCGGTCTATCCAGGATTTGCCGGAGTCTTCCCTCAATGCAGGGGATGTTGCTGCAGAAACAGCTACTGACAACATGTTAACTCGCGTGTTGAACTGGGTGGTCACAGGATGGCCCGACATGTTTTCTGGCCCTAACTTCCAGAATTTCTGGAAAAGGAAGCACGAGTTATCCACCTTTAAGGGTTGTATCCTGTGGGGCAGCAGGATAGTAAGTCCGTCCTCACTGAGGACTAGAGTCCTTGACTCTCTGCATGAGGGACATCTAGGAATAGTCCAGATGAAGGCGCTTGCGCGTAGCTATCTCTGGTGGCCTGGTCTCGATAAAGACATCAAGGCCCAGGTCCATGGGTGTCACATTTGCCAGCAGTCTCGGCCAGAAATGTCACAGGCTCCTGTACATAGATGGGAGACCACACAAGCCCCTTGGCCAAGAATTCACATCGATTTCGCTGGCCCCTTTCAGGGGCAACTCCTCCTCATTGTTGTGGACAGTCACTCTAAGGGGCTGGAGGTCGTTCCAATGTCCACTACGACGACTGTCAGGACCATCCAGGTTTTGAGGGGCATCTTTGCAACGCATGGGCTCCCAGATGTCATCATCTCCGACAACGGAGCTCAATTTACTTCCTCGGAGTTTCAGTCCTTCTTAAGGGCAAATATGATTAGGCATGCTACTTTGGCTCCCTTTCACCCGGCCTCTAATGGCCAAGCAGAACGCATGGTTCGCACAACTAAGGAATCCTTGAAAAGGATAACCCATGGCAACTGGCATCACAGGTTGGCAGATTTCCTCCTCTGCCAACGCACAATGCCTTGCATGTCTATGGGCAAGAGCCCAGCTGAGCTCAGATGGGGTCGACGTCTGATCACAAAGCTGGATCGCTTACACCCTGATTGGATTGCATCGCAGGTGCCGCAGCCTAAGGCATCGAGGCAATTGCAAATGGGCGATCCAGTTTGGGCATGCAACTATGGACCAGGGGCACTGTGGGTGGTAGCTGTGGTTTGTAAGGTGTCAGGGCCGCTCTCTTATGAAGTGGCCCTGGAAGACGGTCATGTGCTTCGCAGGCACATTGATCAGCTGCGTCAGAGGCTGCCAAGCCACTCTTCTGCTCCTGACTCTGCTCTCGGGGGGGGGGGGGAGGAACACGATTGTGATTGTGAATCTCAGTCTCTCAGCAAAAGCGAAACATTGCAATCAAAGAACGGGGTTTTTTGCCAACGAGGCTGCTCCTAACTCAGGCACTGCGCCCATTGCTCTCAATCGGCTGTGCATGTGGCTCCTACCTCAGGCATTGCGCCAATGGGACATTGCTCTCAATCGGCTTTTCTCGCCGATCCGGTGGATTCTTCTCCACCACGGAACTTTGGGTTCTGGAACAGGCCAGCCTTCATGATCCAGTTTCACCCATATCGAACAGCCCCAGTTTGCCAAGCCTGGCAGGCGAGCTTACAGATTGGGAGCTAGCAGCAGCAACTCCGAGATGTTCAGAGCAGGCCAAAGACCCACCGAAGTTTTTAAAGGACTACGTGAGGTTTCTGTCATTGCAAGCTTAAAATGCTTATTATTTTTATTGCAAACTGAAATGCTTATGTTGTTCCTTTGAAATTGTGAATGCCTATGTACTAAAATGCAATGTAGGTCTGTGAAATGGGAATGTTTTATATGTTCCTTGTAACGGGGTTATTTTGATATTATTATTATTTCTGACAAGTGTGATGACAGGCTTGTGTATCACTGACTGTCATTGTGCTTTTGAATGTGTGTAATATTGAACAACAAAAAATACTGTGTATGTGTTAAAGAACCAGGAGGGAAGGGGTGTAATGTACTGAGCTTAACTATGGAACAGGTGCAGGGAGCTGCACTGGAACTGTTAGCAGACCACATGGCCTGCTAGCCAGACTTGCTGTCTACAAGGCTGATTAGTATGTATTTGAGTGGGAGAATACGGTGCATTCATTGGCTGACACCACCCCAAGCTGAATGTATAAATAGGGGCAGAGCCATCTTTGTTCAAGTTCTGTTTTGTCTTCAATAAAGAAGTACCTGTTTACTACTCCTGCCTCTTAAATGCTGAACCCAGCAGAAAACAGAACAGTACTTATTATGGGTCATTGAAGTTAAAGCTCTTGCAGTGTCATGCTTTCACATGATTGTGATTTCCAACATTCTTTGCAAGCTTCCCACAAGCAAATCAATGGGAAAGCTGGCAGGAAATCAGTCACATATTCTGGCCTCAATTCCCAAGGAATACTGTGTTCATTTTGTTTCATATGATGGTTAAAGTGAGATTCCTTAATGAGTCTAAAAAAAGATAATAATCTTTTACTTTATTTTTTCTTTTAAAAAAATATGTATAGCCCGGGGAGGCCCAGAGCCCTGAGTTTTGGCTGAGGGAGGAAGAAGCCAGGAAAATAGAGAAGGGAATTCTGTCAGGTTTTTGGCGGGAAGATTTTTGGCGGGAGAGTTGGCTGGAATTTTGAAAGGTGAGAAGGGGCATTTATCTCAGACAGGGCTAGAAATTTTAGTTAGAATAGCCCTGGAGCTTCTGCTGAGAGAGGAAGAATCGGGGAAAGGAGAGGAGGGCTGTCAGTTTCTGGTGGGAAGACTTTGGAGGAGGGAATTGGCTGGAATCCTGAAAGGAGAGGGGAGATGGCAGAAGCAAACTGATCCAGGCAAGAGGCCGAGCCAGTGACCAGAGGGGGTGCCAAATTTATATATAGGCTGTTAAACTGAATAGCAACCAAATATCCAGTTTTAACTTTTTTTAAAAAAAAAAGAAATTCTGTCAGGCCAATTCAAAAATTAACCTCAATGAGAGCAATTGTTTTGAACTGTGATCTTTTCAATACTGGTGTGACGAAGCCTTGAAATAGAAAAAGACAGTAAGATGTATAGAACTCAATAAACATTTAGTCATTTTTCCCTTCTATGGCGTTCTGGAGCGAGGAACCGCACAGATCTTAAAAGGAAAGGGATGCAGAGTTATTCCTAATACTGGTTCTTCACTGAGCTTCTCCACTCCTTCTGGGGGTTGCAACCTAAATGCCCTCAGTAGGCTGGTGAACATAATGAAGATCTCAATCCTTGCAAAGAGTTCCCCCACACAGCTCCGAGCACCTACAGTGAAGATAAAATAAAAACACAAAAACAATAGTGGCAACCTTTACTGCCCACTCATTGACCATTTACGACATTTAACAACAATCTAAAAAGGGTATCTCAAACTGGTGGAGCAAGGCCTCCTTCATTCACTAAGCCCATACCAAGTAACAGAATAGAGTCTGCCTGAGTGGATAGTTATAATAAATTTCATAAAACAAAGATGTATCAGTTCAAACCAAAGGGTTACCTAGTCCAAGCTTCTGTTTCTATTGTGGAAATTAGATGTTGATGGGAAGACACCAGCAGGAATTCATTAGTGCAATTCTATATTAGGAACCATTTTTGTAGCCTCTTTTTTACTCATTTACTCATTAACATTCATTAGAATAAACATGACAGAACTATCTTAGGTTGTGACTTTTCCAGGATCTGGTTCCTCTTTCACATCCTGTCAGGAGAAATCCCTAACCAAGACTAACACTTCTGCCTGAAGAAAGAGGAAGGAGGCTTTATCCACATTTTAACCTGCTTCAGCAGATGCATTGCTTTTTATTTTTCTCAAATCTCTTTTCCAACAAGTTTTAGCAATCCTATATATGTTTTTGTATCCCTACATTTTCTAATAATGAAAGGAATGACTGGATTAGAAGACCTCCAAGGTCCCTTCTATTCTATTCTATTCTATTCTATTCTATTCTATTCTATTCTATTCTATTCTATTGTGTTTTTTTCTAAAAAAAAAAAAAGCTGCCGGAACTCACACATGTCATACAACCCGCCTTGCCTACCCTACAAGGTTCCATCCCAAAAAGGTGCCGGAACTCTGTTCAGGGCGTTCTATGAGAAAAAAAGCCCTGATTCTATTCTATTCTATTCACAAGTTTCAGCAATCCCATATATGGTTTGGTATCCCTATATTTTCTAAAAATGAAAAGAAGGGCTACATGTAAGGAAACAGTTGTAGGGGAGTTTCCTTGTAGGATAGAGTAACTTTACAGGGGAAATGGGTGGCATAATAAATAAATATACAAACAAACAAATACATTTCTAATAATTAAGAACAGATGATTGGATTAGCTTCCCCAAAAACAGTAATTCATACATTTTTTATTGCTTTGCAGAACTCTTTTTATCCCCAATGGGTTGCCATTCTTCCCCACACCTCAGCATACAGGATAAGAAGGATCCCATCTTATATTTGTGATTTGAGCTGCTTCCTCTAATTCTTTCTCGAATCTTTTCTCTGACTCAACCCAGTGTCCTCTTCTAAATCACTGTCTTTGGATATCAGATCCCATCAGCCCTTGACTCAGGATGGTGAGATCTGATATTGGTGACTGCAGTACATGAGATGCTCCTTCCCCAACTGTAGTAAATATACAAGGAAGCCCTCATTTCCTAATCAATTTACCCTTTTCTCTCTTTTCTTTAAGCTGGGACCATTTTTTAAACAAAAATAGAGAGGAAGCATAGAGTCCCAGGCCGCTGCAGAATGATCCTTTGGACCCTCTATGGATGTATTTCTGCTCTTTTTTAATCCTGCCAGATTCTCTGGGGGTGAGGGTGGAGGATCCATAAGATAAGGAGTACTGGGGCCTCATTCTTTGGAGAGCCTCTCTGGGACCTTCGTCTCATCTTAGGAAAAATAAGGATTACTAACCTCAAAATTTGTCCACACAACTTACTGACTGGAGCTAATATAGCTATGTGCATTCTGGAGTTTTACTTAGGTTAATCTAACACCAGGAGAATTGCATCTGTAAATGTTTCTCTTGGCTTTCATGCTACACAGTTCTCTCCCCCCACCACATTGATCCAGTTACGTATAGTGGAAAAGAAGCTTCTTAATTTACCTTCCCCCAAATCCCCAGTAGATATAGACTAAATGTTATTTTGCCCTTTAACTTGGGCACTTTCAAATGCAATCTCTTTCCTTACAAGCAAAAGAAACCTACACATTTTTTTTCTTTTTACGAAAGAAAAAGAATCGTACATATTACCTGCTCCAAATGGCATAAATGCTTCTTTAGTGACAAAATGTCCTTCTTTGTCCAAAAAATGGTTGGGGTTGAATTTTTCAGGCGTCTCCCATTGTTCAGGATCAAGGAGAACAGAGCGCAGGTCGGGAAAAATCATAGCTCCCTAAAATGAAGAAAGAAAGAAATGGAAACATCTGGACCAGTGGCCCCCCAACCTTTTGGGTACTAGGGACTGGTTCTGTGGAGAGAGGTTTTTCCATGGACTGGAGGGGCGTGGTTTCACATGCTTCCTGCATCCCGTGGATGGGGCTTTCCTTGTTTGAGCGGCCCTGTTTCTGGCATGCCGTGGACTGGTGCTCGTCCATGGACCCCTGATCTAGACAATCTCATTTGCTTCTGGATATTCTATTTCTTTTCCTTGCATGTTTCAGGTATATATTTAGGTATATTCAGGTAGTCAGTTTTTTTGTAGTGGTTAAGGTGGTAGCCTGGAAAAACCAGGAGACTAAGAGTTCTAGTCTCAGTTTAGGCAGGAAAACTGGCTGGATGACTCCCTATCAACCCAAACCATCTCACAGGGTTGTTGTTGTGGAAAAAACAGGAGGAAAGAATATTATGTATTGAGTTATTTATAATAAAGGTGGGATAAAAATCCAATCTAATATTAATAAAATACTTCAAGCACTACCTGTGCTTAATCTGCAGGCTACTTCTGCAACCTCCCCTTTATTTCTTAATTTGTACCCTGCATTTATTATTTTTAGAAATAACTAATCTGGTTTTTTGCTTTGACTCCCATCTCTTCTCTTCATGGAAGCAGCTGAGAGGCAAATGGGGACTATGAACAAGCCAGGTTATCCTTCATTGAGATAATTCATTTCTCAAAGTCTTGTGTGGTAGTGCTAACTTTCCCAATGAAAGTCACAAACGCAAAGTGTACTTGAGTTAAAGCCTGGAGAGAAGCCCACCCTACAGCAAATACAAGGGGTCATTTATGCATATGTGTCAAAACAAAAGAGAGCCAACACAGTTGTAGAAGCAGGAAGCATTGATGGTTTGATACTCACAATAGTGAAAGAAGTGAACAGCAAGCAGACAGCGTAAGTTTAAAAAGTAATCCTCATTCACACCTAGACATCAACTAGAAATAATAATCAGAAGGAGAAACCGAGGCCCAGACAATGATTTCCACCATAAATGCTGTTCTATATTACCAAGAGAGATGTGACTCACTAAATCATATATATGAAAAAAAAATCTGCAAAGGAGAAGACTTAAGCATTTAATAAAAATAAGCATTAGAGGACAGGCTGCTTAAATAATGGCCAGCACCTGCACTTCTGCTGTCCTTTTAAGGTCTCTCCCTAGCCAAAATAGCAACTGTTCACTATAAAAGTTGAGCAGAGAGGCAGGGAAGTGTGGTGTGTTGTCTGTGGAAATAAAGCAGCCTGAAGTAGCCTAAAACAGGCAGAAAGATATTCTCCAGTAGTAGGACTCACAAGGTGCAAGTTGGAGAGCAGTAGGAGGATGTGTAGTAGTAGTGGGGAAGAGTGGAGTAGTGAGTAGTGAGCAATGAGTGCTGGCCTTTGAGTGATTGTGTGTGTGTTGCCTAGGTCTTATGTTGTTGGGCTGACTCTCTTGTGTTATGGAGCCCACTGAGTTGGGTATACTTAAAAGAACCATGATAATAAGGCATCGAAACCTCTCAGGTGAGCTACTGGAAGAAAGCTTTGGGTTGGAAGTTGGCCTAGTGTGATAAACCAGAAGTCTGACAAAACCAGCATTCATACATTCTTCTTTGAAAGACATGCTTAGCATAGCAGCAAGTGGATCACTTTGATTTAAACACTGCATTCCAACAAAGTTTTAGCAAAGAGTGGAAGTTCAACAGGGCATCCATATACAGATCCAGCTCTTAAAAGATGATTAGGGGTCTGGAGGCTAAAATGTATGATGTATGATGAACAGGGTAGAACTGGGTGTGTCTAATCTAACAAAGAGAAGGACTAGATATGACATGATAGCAGTCTTTCAATATTTGAGGGACTGTCAACCTCTTCTTCAAAGCACCCAGTGGCAGGACAAGAAACTTATCAAAGACAGATTCAACCAAGAACTAAGAAATGTCCTGACAGCGAGAACAATTGATCAGTTAAATTATTGTTTTCACTTGGGGTTGTGGGTGATCCATCAGGTTTTTAAGAAGAGATTGGATAGTCATTTGTCCAGAATGATACAGGGTCTCCTGTCTGAGGAGGGGAATTGGAACAGAAGACCTCTAATGTCCCTTCCAACTCTGTTATTCTGTACTGTTATGCTTGGAATTCAGAAAGATTCACACCTTGGGAATGAGAAATCCATTGAGGTAAACATCCTTCACACATTTTCTTGGTAGTCCAAAGAATGTGACGTATTTGCTTCGTATAATCTCATGAATCACAGCATTGGTGTAGGGCAGATTCTTCCGATCTCCATAACAGATGGAGTGAGACGGATCCAAAACGGTTTCTATCTCCTTGTAGACCTTGTCTGAGAAAAAGAGTAAGAAAGTAACTTTTATTGAAGAACTTATAAATTATCTCAGAAGATAAGTAAGGTGAATGTGGAGAGATACCTTTCCACCTGAATTATTTCATGTGGTTGCCCTTAAAGAGATTTTGAATAGTAAGTCAGCTGGAGTATAAAATTCTGAGAGCGGGAAAGGATTATTAGCACTCATTGATGGAACTGAAAATAAATGTGTAAAAACTACTACTACCACCACCTAGTAGTCCATTCTCTGGATTGGCTGCCTCCCAGAGATCTGGATGTATCTCACTCTGAGGAAGGCTCTAAATAATTTGGTTTTTCTTCAGATCATATAAATCTTAACCTGTAATGAAGTTTGTTTTGTGTCTGCAGACCTTACATGCTGCCATTCCTTCAGTCCTTCATGAAAACAGCAATGCAAGTATGTTTGAGGTCCTGGGTTGCTTGTCTTTTAGATTTCTTTTTCTTGTTCAAGACAGTATATTATGCTTACTGTCCTTTTAAAACAGGGTATTGAAAGGGAAAAAATGTAATGTGAATGACAAAAATTAAAATATTTTTTTATTTATTTTAAATAATTGAATTGTTCAATTGTCCCACAGCGAGTTGTCCCACAGTGAGTTAGCTATGGTGAATTGTCCCGTGGCGAGTTGGCTGTGGAGAGTTGTCCCATTCCAAACTGCAACCATTGCTCACTGTGGCTTCCGCTCCATAACAACTGTGACTTTAGGAAGTGTTAAAGCTGAGAAGACGAGGCAAAGAATGCTGGGAAGTTACTATTTCTAGGGATCTCCTGTTATTCCCTACATCTGTTGGAAGATTGATTGAATATCAGCCTTGGAGGATCTCATCTATGATCCAAATCAGTCAAACAGTGCACATGTTTTCCCATCTGGAATATTGTGTTCAGTTCTGTGTACCGCAAAATACTACTTTTATAATGCCTTGGTAAGATCACACTTGAAATATTGCATCCAGTTTTGGTCCCCACAATGTAAAAAGATGTGGAGATTCTCAAAAGAGTACAGAGAAGAGCAACAAAGATGATTAGGAGACTGGAGGCTAAAACATATAAAGAACATTTAAATGAAAAGAAGGACTAGGGGTGATATGATAGAAGTGTTCCAATAGCTCAGGGTTTGCCATGAAGAAAAGGGAGTCAAGCTATTCTCCAAGGCACCTGAAGGCAGGACAAGAAGCAACAGATGGAAACTAATCAAGGAGAGAAGCAACTTAGAACTATGGAGAAATTTCCTGACAGTTAGAACAATTAATCAATGGAACAACTTGCCTCCAGAACTTGTGAATGCTCCAACATTGGAAATTTTTAAGAAGAGATTGGACAACCATTTGTCTGAAATGGTATAGGATTTCCTGCATGAGTGAGGGATGGATTAGAAGACCTCCAAGGTCCCTTCCAACACTGTTATTCTGAGAAGGCAACCATTTCTGGAGGTTGAATATAACCCTGAAATTGGATAAGGAACTATCTATACACCCTGGAATATACATATATTAATATTCTATCTAGTGTGACATTGTAGAGGAATTGCACTTCCCACTAAAAATTCTACTTTATTGTCACCTTGGATATCTGGATGAGTTGCCATTAGTAGCAATGCCCATTGCAGAACACTACTAGTTGAGTCTGTCCCAGCAATAAAGATGTCACCAATGCAATGAACCAAGTTGTCTTCATCATAGGTAGAATTTGGTTCATCCTTGCTCTAAAGTTAACAGTGAGAAAGGTGAAATGTCATTTTCCCATTATTATTATTACTATCATTATCATCATTATTATATTTTATTCATTAAACATGAACCTCAGTCAACTGAACATTCAAATTGGCTGGTGCTGATGGTTGACACGGGTTGCTACCAGCATCCTAGGTGTCAACCAGGTACCTCTTTAAAATGTAAGATGTCCCGAGTAGCGCAGTTTTTTGTAACATTGCTGGAGTTATTCAGGAAGCTGCAGTTTCTTGATGTATTTTGCAAAGTTTTTGGACATAGTTCCCAGTGCCCCGATGACAATGGGTATCACTGTTATACGTTTCATCCATAATCGCGCAATTTCAATGGCCAGGTCACAATATTTCGTAATTATTTCCAATTCTTTTTCTTCGACTCTGGCATCTCCTGGTACAATCAGCTGTACGCTTCGGTTCTCTACAACTGCAATATCTGGTGTGTTGTGGCTAATCCCCTAGTTCCCTTCTCTACTTTTTGGGAGACAAAGTTGTCTACTAGGTTTGTCAGGAATCTGTTTGATCTTCCACTTGGTGCAGAGTATTTCTCCCAGTTGATGTCAAGGAGTTAAAGTCCCCCATTACTATTGTGATGTCCTTCCTACATACCTTAGTTAGCTGACTAGCAAAAAGTCCATCTATTTCATCTGTTTGGTTGGGTGGACTATAATATACACCTATGGCAATGTCATTCCCCTCCCCTTTTATATTGACCCAAATGCATTCAAGACAGTTTACATCATTGTTGTGCTCTATTTCTGTAGAGCACAACATTCAATATCATTCAATATCACAGTAGTCCAAGTCTATGCCACAACCACTGGTGCTGAAGAGGATGAAACTGACTGGTTCTATGAAGCCCTACAGCACCTTATAGAATCAACACCAACAAATGATGTCCTTATCATCATGGGGGATTGGAATACTAAAGTAGGAAGCCAAAAGATAACCGGAATAACAGGCAAGTTTGGCCTTGGAGTACAAAATGAAGCAGGGCACAGGCTGATAGAATTTTGTCAAGAGAATACGATGGTCATAGCAAACACTCTTTTCCAACAACCCAAGAGACGGCTCTACACATGGACATCACCAGACGGTCAACAGAGAAATCAAGATTATGCAGGATATAAGAGAACGAGGAGGACTTAAAGTTCCTAACTTAAAATTATATTATGATGCGGTGGTTTTGACATGGATTAGTGATTGGTTAAACTTGACAAATAGAAACATACTTTCTCTTGAACGATGGGATTTGTTATTTGGTTGGCAGGCATATTTAATTTATGACAAAAAAGTAGATAAAAATTTTAAGGCTCATATTTTGAGAAGTGCTTTACTTCGAGTTTGGAAGAAATATTATTATAGATTAAATTATAAGATTCCTATTTGGGCAAGTCCAGGACAGATAATAGAGGGGATATCTAAGGGAGTTAAATTGGATAAAGTTTCTTACAAAGAATTACTTTCGCCGGTAGGACGAGATTGGCAACTTAAATCTTTGGTGATTTGAAACAAGAAAATATTGAATATTCTTGGTTTTATTATAATCAATTGTCAATGAGGTGGTGTTTGGATCAAAAAGTTGGTATTACAGTACAGGATGTAAATTTGATTAAACAGATTAGAGATCAATCTCAAGCTCACATAAAAAGAATTTATGGTGTATTGGTTGAATTGGATTCGGAAACAGAATTGGTGAAGGATTGTATGATAAAATGGACGCAAAATATACAAGAACTGATCCTATTGGAAACATGGGAGACAATTTGGATTAGGAATGTAAAATTTACTCAAGCTCAGAACTTAAGAGAAAATTTTTATAAAATGTTTTATAGGTGGCATTTGGACCCTCAAAAATTGTCCCATATGTATCCTAATCTACAACCCAAGTGTTGGAGATGTGGAAATTTAGATGCAACTTATTTTCATATGTGGTGGACTTGTAGGGCGGTAAAAGCATTTTGGATAAAGATATGGTGGAATATTCAAAATATTTTTAAGAGAAAGATAAAGTTTAAGCCACAGTTATTTTTGTTGGGTATTATGGAAAATTTGGATAAAAAAGAAATGGATTTGATGTTGAATTTGATAACTGCTGCAAGATTATTAGTAGCTCAATGTTGGAAAATGGAATGTTTGCCCACTATAGAAGATTGGGCTTTTAAAGTTTCAAATTTAGCAGAAATGGCTAAGATTTCTGCCTATGTGAAGGATTATTCACAATAAAGATATATTTTGGTTTGGAGAAGATGGATAGATTATTTTGAGAACAAATATGGAACTAAAAAGTTTCATTTGGTTTTTGAGTAAATTTTAGATTGTTAATGTTGTTTATTTCTTTTTAAATAGTAATAAGATGTTATAATCATAGTGTTTAACATGTTTGTTTAGAAGAGAGTTAAAGGATGTTATAGAATTGTTAATTTAATAGTGATATAATGTAAGATAGAGTATACTTATTGTATTGTTAACCCTGTGATTGGCTCTGGGAAGTCGGGGGGGAGGGAGGGGGGTGGGAAGGGTGGGTCTCGGGGAGGAGGAGAGTTATATTGTAAAACTTTTAAAAATTTTCAATTAAAAAAAAAAAAGAGAATACGATGGTCATAGCAAACACTCTTTTCCAACAACCCAAGAGACGGCTCTACACATGGACATCACCAGACGGTCAACAGAGAAATCAGATTGACTATGTGTTCTGCAGCCAAAAATTGAGAAGCTCTATACAGTCAGTAAAAACAAGACCAGGAGCTGACTGTGGCTCAGATCCTGAGCTTCTCGTTGCAAAATTTAGGCTTAAATTGAAGAAAGTTGGGAAAAACACCAGGCCACTCAGTTATGAACTAAATCATATCAGAGGTGACAAATAGATTTAAGGAATTAGATCTGATAGACAGAGTGCCTGAAGAACTATGGATGGAGGTTCACAACATTGTACAAGAGGTAGCAACTAAAACCATCCCAAAGAAAAAGAAATGCAAGAAGCAAAATGGCTGTCTGTGGAAGCTTTGCAAATAGCTGAGGAAAGAAGGGAAGTGAAAGGCAAGGGAGAAAGAGAAAGATACATTCAATTGAATGCAAAATTCCAGAGAATAGCTAGAAGAGGTAAGAATGCCCTCTTAAATGAACAGTGCAAAGAAATAGAAGAAAACAATAGAATAGGGAGAACCAGAGGTCTCTTCAAGAAAATTGGAGATATAAAGGGAACGTTTCATGCAAAGATGGGCATGATAAAGGATCAAAATGGCAGGGACCTAACAGAGGCAGAAGAGATTAAGAAGAGGTGGCAAAATTACACAGAAGAACTATACAAGAATGAGCTTAGCGTCCCTGATAACCACAATGGAGTGGTCACTGATCTCGAGCCAGGCATCCTAGAATGTGAAGTGAAATGGGCCTTAGGAAATCTGAGCAACAACAAAGCAAGTGGAGGTGACAGTATTCCAGCTGAGCTATTCAAAATCTTAAAAGACGATGTAGTAAAAGTGCTACACTCAATTTGCCAGCAAATTTGGAAAACTCAACAGTGGCCACAGGATTGGAAAAGGTCAGTTTACATTCCAATTCCAAAGAAAGGCAATGCCAAAGAATGTTCAAACTATCGCACCATTGCACTCATTTCACATGCAAGTAAAGTTATGCTTAAAATCCTACAAGCTAGACTCCAGCAATATGTGGATCGAGAACTTCCAGAAGTACAGGGAGGATTTTGAAGAGGCAAAGGAAAAAAAGATCAAATTGCCAACATATGCTGGATCATGGAGAAAGCTAGGGAGTTCTAGAAAAACATCTACTTCTGCTTCATTGACTATGCTAAAGCCTTTGATTGTGTGGATCACAACAAATTGTGGCAAGTTCTTAAAGAGATGGGAGTACCGGACCATCTTATTTGTCTCTTGAGAAACCCATATGTGGGTCAAGAAGCAACAGTGAGAACTGGACATGGAACTACTGATTGGTTCAAAATTGGGAAAGGAGTTTAGCAAGGCTGTATTCTGTTGCCCTGCCTATTTCACTTATATGTAGAGCACATCATGAGAAAGGCAGGACTAGATGAATCAAAAGTTGGAATTAAGATTGCCGGGAGAAATATCAACAACTTAAGATATGCAGATGATACCACTCTAATGGCAGAAAGTGAAGAGGAACTAAAGAGCCTCTTGATGCGGATGAAGAAGGAGAGTGCAAAAATTGGCTTTAAACCTCAACATTAAGAAAACCAAGATCATGGTATCCGGCCCTCTCAATTCCTTGCAAATAGATGGAGAAGAAATGGAGGTAGTGACAGATTTTATCTTCCTGGACTCCAAGATCACCACAGATGGGGACTGCAGCGAAGAAATTAAAAGCCGCTTGCTCCTGGGGAAGGAAAGCTATGGCAAATCTAGACAGCGTACTAAAAAGCAGAGACATCACCTTGCCAACAAAAGTACATATACTCAAGGCCATGGTTTTCCCAGTTGCAATGTATGGCTGTGAAAGTTGGACCATAAGAAAGGCTGAGCACCAAAGAATTGAGGCCTTTGAACTATGGTGCTGGAGAAGACTCCTGCGAATCCTTTGGACTGCAAGGCGATCAAACCGGTCAGTCCTAGAGGAGATCAACCCTGACTGCTCTTTAGAAGGCCAGATCCTGAAGTTGAAACTCAAGTACTTTGGCCACCTAATGAGAAGGAAGGACTCACTGGAGAAGAGCCTAATGCTGGGAAAGATTGAGGGCAATAGAAGAAGGGAACGACAGAGAATGAGATGGCTGGATGGAGTCACTGAAGCAGTAGGCGTGAGCTTAAATGGACTCCAGAAGATGGTAGAGGACAGGAAGGCCTGGAGGAACATTGTCCATGGGATCACGATGGGTTGGACACGACTTCACAACTAACAACAACTAAATCCAGCTTTGTGTTGTATTTATGGGTTTCATCCCAACAAGTTTCCATAATGGCACCAATATCATAGCTGCCCTCATTTACCTGAATTTCTAGTTCACCCTGTTTATCATTCATACTCTGTGCATTGGTGTACAAACATTTGAGTCCTTTATGACTAGCCCTGTGTTTACTTTCTACATAACCTGTGTGGTGCCTGAGTTCCCCTATTTTCTTACCCCCTGTTTGGTTAGTGCACTTTGTGTGGCACTCGCTATTAAAAGCTTGATTTTGCTTGACAGCAAGGTTGATATTCTTATCCACAGATACATCTATGTTACATGCACTGATAACCCTATAATTTTTAGATTGCCAGGGACAGGGATGTTCTGTATCAATTAACTCACTGTCCCCTTTGTTTAGTTTAAATATTCCTCCAGAAAATCTGTGAATTTATTGCCAAGTAACCCAGTCCCTTTCTTTGATGGATGCAAGCCAGATATCAAGGCTGCTAACATCGGATGTTCTTGCTTGACAATATATGAAGAAGCAGACATGTTTTATTTAACCTGTGTATTACTTCTAGAGTTAAAGTTAGACAATGTTGGAAGGGAGGGGGGAAAGTATGTATTCGGGGAATAGTTAGCCATAACAATATTTCAGTACAGTATTTTCAAGGTTAGTTGTAACCAGAGGAGATACGGGAGGGAAAGTTCACACTTCAAACTAATTGGAGAATGTGATTGATGACTGTTAAATGAAGGAGTGAGTTATGCTTTGTTCCGGGTGATTGGGGGAAGGAGAATTCAGTTTTTGGCTTCACTATGTACGTGCCAAAGCTATGTAGTAATTAAAAAGATTCTTTAAGGAAAACAATGCCTCAAAGTTCTTTGAAGAACTTCTACTTTAGGAAGCATGACACCATCTCTTTTGTACATCTTTTCACTGGACCAGCTACAGACATTGTGACTAATACAACCAAAGCCTTCCCCTTTACACCACTCCTTTAGTCACATATTGAATTGTGCTATACGCTGGCCTTTTCCATTTTGCTCTTTATACAGTGGTAAAACCTCTGAAAAAGTAAGCGTACAGCCTATTCTGCTAAGTTCATGCCCTAAGCTCTGGAAATCATTCTGCACAGAGAGTACATCTTTTTGGTACAGATCATTAGTGCCAAGCTGTACAAAATCATCCACATCACAGTCCTTGCTGGCATTCTTGACTATCTTAAAAATACGCTTCTTGCCCCTACTGACAGTAGCACCTGGAAAACACCTGACCTCTCTCGAAACCTCTGTATCCTTTCCTAAATTTACATCTCCTATAACTGAATCACCAATCAGAAGGTGGCTTCTCTTTTTGGATGCCTTGCTCTTCTTGCATGACTGATGTGTAATACCTGATTCACACTTTCCCCTGTCCAAAACAAATTCTTCATCTCGGACCACGATCCCCTGCTTATTTGAGTTATCATCATCGGAATTACCTTGACTTGTCTCCTTAGTGTCCTTATTAAGGTCAGTGGGGGCACTGTATCTGTTATGCAGGGACACAGAGAAAGCTTTGTGTTTATGGTTCACAGCTCTCAACCTGCCAGATCCTACGGTTGTCCACACTGCCCTTCTCCTGCAGGTTCTTTGTGGTAGAGAGGGCTCAATAGAATAGAAGGGCTGAACTGGACACCTAATTTCTGCCTGAAGAGCAAAGATTACAGACCCTAGATAAATAATCTGTCCTTGTAGACTAGTGATTTGTTTACAGATAGGACAGTTTCCAAGTTTGAAAAGAGTACTGCGAAAGACAGCTGCAAAACAAGTGTTGCATTGAACTAAGCCAGACATTCTGAGATAAAAGGAA